TGCCATGCTGGAGCCACAGTTATTTATTGACAAGTAAAATTTGCAGAATTTTAAAATATTGTGCACATAATTTTTAGGCACAGAATTCCCTCAGGAGTACAAAGTGCAATGTTCTTGTCGGCCAAAACCCTAATGGGGAAAAATTGTCTTAAGTAAATTGTACTCTATTTTGTTTATTTTGCTTTATACTACATTTTGCTAGTTTTAAATTAGTAAAAAAAAAAAATTGTTCTGAGTTTATTCTTTGCTAATTGTATTAATAATTGTTCTTAAATGAATAAAAGTTTTGTGGCTATAATTATTGCCTTATTTACTGGTTGGCATGTAAGTAAAAAATGTATGGTAATTAATTAAAAAAAGACTGCTGGGCTAAATGGTCAAGAAGGGAGTGAAGGAGTCGAGAGGCACAAACTTTATTATCAGATTTCAGAGTAGCAGCCGTGTTAGTCTGTATCCGCAAAAAGAACAGGAGTACTTGTGGCACCTTAGAGACTAACAAATTTATTAGAGCATAATGGACACAAATCTGACATCAGGAAACATAATACTCAAAAACCAGTGGGAGAACACTTTAACCTGTCTGGCCATTCTATGACAGACCTGCGGGTGGCTATCTTACAACAGAAAAACTTCAAAAACAGACTCCAACGAGAGACTGCTGAGCTGGAATTGATATGCAAACTAGATACGATCAACTCAGGATTAAATAAAGACTGGGAATGGCTGAGCCATTACAAACATTGAATCTATCTCCCCTTGTAAGTATTCTCACACTTCTTATCAAACTGTCTGTACTGGGCTATCTTGATTATCACTTCAAAAGTTTTTTTCTCTTACTTAATTGGCCTCTCAGAGTTGGTAAGACAACTCCCACCTGTTCATGCTCTCTGTATGTGTGTATATATATCTCCTCAATATATGTTTCACTCTATATGCATCCAAAGAAGTGGGTTGTAGCCCACGAAAGCTTATGCTCTAATAAATTTGTTAGTCTCTAAGGTGCCACAAGTACTCCTGTTCTTTTTATTATCAGAATCACCCAGATGGCAAATTGACAACCCTAAAGCAAAGGCATACACCCTAAAAACAAAATGAAAAATAAAGCCAAAAAAACAAAAACAAACAAAAAAAGGCAAATAGTCCGAGTAACAACTCAAATAATGCTAATTAAAAGCAACCTTAACTACCTCATAATTAACAGCTCCGGTGTAACACAGCAAGGTCCAAACACTTGTATAAAAACTTCTTACTATAAAGAAAAGGGTGTATTGCCATGGGACTTTGGGTTCGTTCTGCATCAACATCAAAGCTTCGAACACATTCGACAAAGGCCCAGCTCCCCTCCTTTGTGTGCAGTTTCAGCTGGTCACTGTAACTGACCAAGCAACACTAAAAACTGGTAACTATACAATCCAGCTGCAAAAGTAAGTAAGTAAGTAAGAGTGTGAGTGTCAAAGCATATGCTGATTTTAATGCTTAAAAGTGTATTGCCTTATCCCCTTTTAAAAAACTTGTGTGCTTCTTATAACATCTTATAACATTCTGAATCGCCATTTTCCACATGACAACAGCGAATAACTGTCTCAGAATCACTACAGCTGTATCTGTTGCAACTACACCAAATTTGTTATTCATTTGTGCTCTATAAATACACAAAAGTGGTTTAAAAAGCAAAGTGTCACATAATTAATCCAAATTTTAAAGGTTTACATAAAAAGCACATTTAAAGAAAAGCTGTAATAAAACTATGGATTCCAACCTAATTTTAACAATTGCTACGTTTAACAGGTATTTGAATTGCAAATGAAATACAGCACTTACGAATTAATTTGAAATTAAACTTTGGTTTTATTTTGGCTAAATTATAAAAACAATATACTGGAAATCTACAATGATTTGTAGTATTTATATTTGTAAGCCCTTTTGAGACTATATCTTTTTCTGTTCTGTAAAGAACTCTATTCATTTGCAGTCTTTTTAAAAATACTAATAGTAATATAGAGGCCAACAGCCTAGAAGGATTCAAAATTCCAAAAAGGATTAGATATTTATATAAATACTGAGAATATATTCACTGTCAAATTAGATGGGATTATGTTTTAAAAAGTACTCAAAAACCACAGCTTTAGAGCAATATAGACCTTTAATACTTCAGGACATAAGCCTACCTCTAACTGAGGGGATTAATAAGAAATTTCCTGTTAACAATTTGTTTCATAGTTGCCCACTTCATAGTTCTTGCACATCTGCTAACAGCTGCTGTCACTTGGGCCTGGTCTACACTACGACTTTAATTCGGATTTAGCTGCGTTAATCCGAATTAACCCTTCACCTGTCCACACTACAGAGCCAGTTAATTCGAATTAAAGGGCACTTAAAATCGATTTCTGTACTCCACCTCGACGAGAGGAGTAGCGCCAAAATCGATTTTGTTAATTCGAATTAGGGTTAGCGTAGCCGCACACCACCGAATTAATGTGGTTAAATTAATGGGGTAGTGTGGCCGCACACCACCGAATTAATGTGGTTAAAAACCGAATTAATGTGCTTAGTGTGGCCGCGCACAATCGAATTTATACAACCTGTTTCCCAAATTCGAATTATCTAAATTCGGATTAATCCCGTAGTGTAGACATACCCTTGGAGAACACTGGCCTACCTAAACCACTGGTTTGGTTAAATAAAGCAACTCCTAAGTTCATACGGTCACTCTCTAAAGGAAGATTGGCACAGAACCTTTGATAAGGAAATGGGGTTTGATAATATTAATTTCTAGCTAATATATATCATTTTTCACTTGCAGACTCCCATTTCTATTTTAGAGATGTGATTTCATTTTCACCAGGAAACCATTCTTCAAAGGGCTATGCCGACCCCTTGCTTTCAACCCCTTGTATGACTTTTTGAGGCATCTTAACAAAAAAGGTTGCAAGAAACAAATACCAGTATCCCAGAACACCTGGAGCACGAACACCGGTGCCCTGCGCGCTGTGTGTGCGCGCCTCACCCCTCTGTGTTTTTTCCTACCCTTCCCTTATACAAGGGATCTCGGGCACCTGTCCTAGGGGTTTACTAGGCGCCCCTTCCCGCGGAGAGCTTCTCTGCCGACCCACTTACACTGGCCATTCACCCGCCCTCACCCTCCCAAATTGGGAATATCAGCAGCGGGCGAAACGCTCCACCCCAGCGCCTACTCCTGCTTCCCTCGGCAGCTCCCGGGCCTCTCCTCACCCAGGGAGTGGCGAAGGCAGAAGAGGCCTCCGCCCGCCGAAAGGCTCCACACGCAGCCTTAAGCAGACGGGCGGCTCTCGGTGCCTCCTGCTGAGGCAAGGCCGCCGGGAGGTGCAATCCTTAAGCGGCTGTGAAAGGTGTATGGCTAGGCAGCTGCCCAGCGGCCCTCCCCAATTGAGGCCCTGCCTGCGGCGCGGAGCAGTGGCGCAGCATTGGACGCTCGGCGGAGACGGCGGCTGCTGTTGCTCAAGCGGGGCCTGGCCCTACCTGCGCGCGTGAGCCGGGGGCCGGGCCGGGGGCCTGGGCGCAGCAGGAGGTGCCGGCTCCGCCAAGGGTTCCGCAATCTGTCTGCGGCCGGCTCAGTTTCTCCTCGGGCAGCTGATTTCCCTCGAACTCAGCCCCTCCCTGGTAGGATTCCTGTCAGGACAGCATCGCTAAGACCCGGATGGAGCCGCTCTTCCTTCCCTTCCCACTGTGACCAGGCTCCGAGGCCCCGGATGGAACCGCCCCGCCTATCCTACCCCAGGGGCCAGCGACCGCGGATGTAGTTCCCCGCTTCAGCAGCCCTGACAGCGGCAGGGCCGGGAGGAACATTGGGACCCGGATAAAGTTCTCCGTCGCTCCTCCCATTAGTCCACTCTCCAAGCACCCGGATGGCGCGCTCCCGTCAGGCACAGCGGCGGAGGACCCGGATCCCCCTCAGCCGATAGGCCTCTTTCGTGACTGCTATTAGTATCCCGGATGTGATCTCTCTTCTCGTGTTCCGTCCGGGCCGAGCCCGCCCCCACTTCACCATAGAGATGACAGCGTGGGCCGCGGAGCCTGCTGGGAAGGAGGCGGCGGCGTGCGTGGGGGCGTGCAGAGAGCCTCAGCCGGCGGCTGGTGGCAGCGGCTGCTCCTTGAGAGCCTGTGAACCGCCACCATGTCGGGAGGAGGCAGCGCCGGGGAGTGGTGCCTGATGGAGAGCGACCCGGGCGTCTTCACTGAGCTCATCAAGGGCTTTGGTGAGGGGCCGAGCGGGGCCCGGGCAGGGGGCTGGGACCGGCGTCTGGGCAGGTGGCGGGCGGGCGGGCGGGGGGCACTTTTGAGGCCTGCAGCTGCTCCTCCGTCTCTTGCGGGAGGGGGGTGGCTCGTCGCTTCGGGACCTTCCTGACCTTCGCCCCTAGCCTCTTCAGCGGCGTTGCTGGGGTGCGACACCCTCCCCCCCCCAGCAGATGAGACGAGGCGGGCTGAGGCGGCAGTTTTGCTCAGTGGGATCAGACACAGAGATGCCCAAATCCCCGCGAGCCAGACATCCCCCTCCGCTGGGAGGGCGCAGTGCTCAGCACCTGCTCAGCTTCTGCAGGGCTAGCTCTTCGCAGGGGAAGCCACAGCCCGCTCTTCTGCTCCTACGCTTCAGCCTGCCTCGACACATCCCAGCCTGCAGTACAGTTCAGCTCCCCCGAAACCCAGTCGGGTCCCATTTGTGCTTGAAAATGGGACTACATGGTTGTTATGAGGCGGCTTCGGCCCTCAAGCACAGAACTGATGCTGTTTCTTTGAGGAAGACCTTGCCCTCATGCTCAGTAAGGCTAGGTCTACACTACCCGCCTGAATCGGCGGGTAGAAATCGACCTCTCGGGGATCGAATTATCACGTCTCGTCGGGACGCGACAAGCGATCCTCGAATCGACGCTCTTACTCCACCAGCGGAGGTGGGAGTAAGCGCCGTCGACGGGAAGCCGCGGAGGTCGATTTTGCCACTGCCCTTACAGCGGGGTAAGTCAGCTGCGATACGTCGAATTCAGCTACGCTATTCGCGTAGCTGAATTTGCATATCTTAAATTGACACACACACCCCCCCCCGTAGTGAAGACGTAGCCTAACTGTAGTGACCCCTGCCCAGGGTGTACCTATTAGCATTTTGAGAGTAACTAAAAAAAAAATCCTGAATGAATAAACTTGTACAGAGGTTTGCATGAGCATGTGCCTGCTGATCTGTGAGAGATTTCTTCTATCTCAGTATGTACAACATGTTGCATTTAAGATGTAATACTTACATAGCACACTTGCATCTTCCAAGCACTTTATAAATGGTAACTAGTACTCAGAAAACGTGTGTGAAGTAGGTAAATAATATCTTAATTTTACAAATTTGGATACTGAGTTACAGAGGACCAAGTTCTGTCTTGATTTACACCAAATACAATGCAATTGAAACTACTGGGATGTTATGGTTTGTAAATCAACATAGAATTTGGCCCAAAGAAGGTAAATTGCGTATCCAGTTCCACAAAGTAGATTAGAGTCCTTTACTAGAGTATCTTGACTTATAGTTCCAAGCATGTTTCTTACCTGCTCCATCTTTTTCCCCCTCACTTATCTGACCCATGAATAAGTCTGACTTTTTACACCAGGGGTTGCAAAAATGCCTTAGTAGTGACACTGGCGTGGGCACTCAAGCCATCCATTTTTGCAAGCCATCAATTTTTTTCTTTTTTTAAAATAAAAAGTTTCCATCCTTCATGGCTGTGAAGATGAAATGTGAATTGTAAACTGTTGTAGTGTTCCTATGCTGGAGTCTTCAGACACAGGTCCAGTGTGTCTACTTTTACTTGCAGCTTTGTGAAGCAGCACAACCCAAATGAGTTTAACAAGTTTCTGGGCAGTAAAACTATTGCTGTTGAGAATCATTTGGGCAGCACTGAATTTGTCAAATCATATTAATTTCATGCTGCCGCTGTTTATGAAAGCTAAGGGACAGGCAGTGTAATTATTCACAATTTTGGAGGGAGGCGGGCGAGGTGGGAGCATGGTAGAATAGCAGAGACTTTCCTGCAGTCCAGAAAGCCTAAGAAGGGTAAAATACTGGAGATTTGATCCTACTCTTTAGGAGGCTGTATCTTCCAGAAAGAGGAAGAATTCTAGAGGGATGTGGAGCTAAGCTTTATCACATGAACTAGCCAGAAGCTGATATGAAGATTCCCCTTTCCAAGATCCTCAGACACCTTCTTGGAAGAAATTTCAGCATACTTCCCAGCAGGTGTTGATTGCAGGATGGGCTGAATTTCTCACCAAGGATTTGCCCCTGTACTTCACCAGCAAAGCCTGCCCCACTCCCATCCTTTGTATCTACATCTGGCTAGTAGATCTAATTTTCCAGCTCGTACATCTCTGGAAAACTTCTCAAACTCTGTTTTACATAGTCTGATTCAGTAAACTCGTGTGATGGCTAACTTAATTTCTTCTGTAGGTAATGAGGAAGAAATTAATATTATTTGACGATTGGATGATGCAAAGGACTGGTAATGGGATAAAAAGTGTTTTGTTTTTACATTTGTGTCAGTGTCAAATTTGATCAATTTAAATGATGATCAAATTTGAAAGCCATTCAGTTGCCTGTGTTGCGTGAATTGTACTGGCTGTGTGTCTGATATGTAGAGCAAGAGCATTATCAAACTGTGTATCTGCAACCTCCTCCCCTAGGGATAATTTGACAATTTGTTTTCTATGGAACCTGTTCCTTATTCACTCTTCCAGACTCCCACTGAAATAGGCTTAGATCCTCAGATGCTACAAACATCCATCAATAAACATTCTGTCAATTCTTGGAGGATTTTTTTTTTTATGAGAGAGGAACCCAAAGCCTCATTGGAAGCCTGAGGATTGAAACAAAAGACTGAGATACATCTGAGGACTGGTCTTGATTGGTTGAATGTTGTACTATGTTATGAAAAAAAGATTGGTTCTCTCTTAAAGGGCCTGGTTAAAAGGCTACCTCTTAATTGGCACTGTTGGCAGGATTCTCAGTGAAGTGAAAGACTGAAAATGAACTATGAAGACTGAATCATCCTCATTCCTAGAGATGGTCCTACCAGGTCAAAGCTGAGGCATATTGGCAAGCTGTGCAGGAAGCTTGTACTGATACTTGGTTTATGGGCAAATTGAGAACTTTAGTCTCCAGGATTGCCTAGTTTGCTCCCTTTCATGAGTACTGGCCTGATTTTTACAAGAACTATTTGTGTAGTACAGACGCTCCCCGACTTGCACAAAATTTGAGTTACGCAAGGCGTTCAGCAACGTATCTCCGACCAATCCTTCCCCCCCCCCCCAAAAAAAAACACCCCCCCCCCCAAACTCCTATTTCTAGCTTACGGAACTTTTTCCATAAACTCGGATTTTCATACGTTGGATTTACGTAACTCGGGGAGGATCTGTAGTTAAATCTGAATGAATATTAATTCAAATTAATGTTTATGTAGTGTTTTACATGCTTTTACCTACATACAGTATCTTAAAATTGCTGTCAGTCACAAAGTGAAGATTAGTGGCATTATGAGATTCTTGTGGTTCTCCATTAAAATATTTGACTGTTTCTTAGTCAGTCAACAGTGATTTATCTTATCTCTCTATAAAATTACGCAAACTGGACTAAACAATTTTTTTCTCTAATCTTTCATCCATATCAGTCATAGGCTTTTTTTCTTCTTAAGTCTGGGCTTAGTTATAAGTAAGTTTCTTTAAGTGGGTGTTGTTGGGTTTTTTTTGTTTTTTGTTGTTGTTTTATTTCCCCTCTCCAAGGTAGGATAATTAAAACTATATCTTTGCTTTTCCAGGTTGCAGGGGAGCACAAGTTGAAGAAATATGGAGTCTGGAGCCAGAGAACTTTGAAAAATTAAAGTAAGCTATTGGATCTACAAAAGCAGTCTCCTTAGATAAGATTTGTTTAGTCTAGGTTCTTTATGAAATCACCGAAGATGCATTGTATTGCTACTTGTCCAATATACTGTATTGCTTTTGGTTTCTATAGCAATTTGCCAGGATTTTAAGCCCTTGTTATACAATACATTCAAGTTGTGAACTTTCAGATGTGCCTTTTATTGTTTAAACTAGCTTCCCTCTTTATGGGAAGTGACCTAGACCAGTGGCTAGAGCATAGGACTAGGAATTAATCAGCATTGCTATTGACTGACTTGCCCAATAGGAACACACAGTAAATTGCTCTATTCCTTGGGTTTTTGCAGTGATATTTAAAGTATCTACCACCTTAAATTAATTTATTGCACTTGTGCACAACTACAGCCTCTTTCTTGTTAATCTCTCTCCTGTCAACACTAATTTTGTTGTCATTCTGCAGGTCTGATCAAGAGCATTGTATTTGTTCATGTATAGTACCTTAAAAGAAAAGTATCACCTAATCTTCTACTTCACTCCTGTGCAAATATCCTACTCTATAATCTTCTAGAAAATAGGACAAGAAGTACAGAATGTAGGGTCTCAACAGTTATCTGACTAAAGCTTCTTAGGTTAGCAATGTATTTGAACTAGAGGCCCTCAAACATAACTTGCCCTGTCTACAATAGGCATTTTTAAAACCTCTTGGTTATCACATTTTAAAAGCACTAGGAAAAAATTCCGTCAAACCTCTTAAAAAGCATCTTCTCTTACGTCTGAAGTAGTGAATATGACGCCAATG